TCAATTTTTTGGAAGCTTATTTTAATAGTAACCTCAGTGGATGATACAACGTTTTCATTGTTGTGTGATTGTCGTTGCAAAACGTCGACTTTTACCATGGTTTTGTATGTTAAGACAAGAATGAGCAATCCCAATATTCAAATTGCTCACCAAAAGAGGGCGCTTGCGTTTTTCGGACGAGTTACTTACCTAACCTATATACTGGCTAAATAAATAAGCATGTAAATGAAGTAAAACTTTTATCGCATGTACATAAGTAGACACATCCCTTTTTTTTATTTCTGGACACCTCAGTTAATAAAGAAAATGGTTTCCTTTGTTTTTCAATTTTGCCTTTCAAAACCCGTTTGCCATGCTCATCATAAGTAACGGTGTCATTCGTAATAAGCTAAGTGTATTGTTGACAAACGTTTCAAGTGGAATGGTTGCCACCAATAAGAGATAAATACCTAACCAGAGTGCGTTGTGTACGTGTTAGTACATGTTGTTGTACAACATGTATATACGCAAGTAAGTGGTTGGAACAGTCCAGGGCCTCCTACAAGCTGGCATTCATTAGCAGTAAATATTAAACCATCAATTAGAGATGTCGCGGGTCTGCCATTTAGAATGACAGTTGAAGATTAGATTTGTATTTGCGTGAGTTAAAGGCCACGTGGGTTGGCAATATTTTTCTGTGGCAAATTAGCTTCACGAGCCTTCCTTTCTCTTCCCTCCGTTTACTGCGTACCATTTGGGTAAACTACTTTTTGCATCACTGGACACAGATACTTACAGAAAGTTTGATGTTTTCATGATTCATCACTACGTAGTATAAAACAAAGTCGCTTTCCCGCTGTCTGTCTCTATGTATGCTTAAATCTTTAAAACTACGCAACATATTTTCATTCGGTTTTTTTTTAAAGATAGAGTGATTCAAGAGGAAGGTTTATATGTATAATACATGCATAATATAATTGGGAAACACTGATAATTTTAGAGGTTTCTAATGTGATGTCGTAAATAAACACATTTTTTGCGCTTACATGTACTACAATATTGTACATCTTAAAAGGGTCTACAAAAAATGGTATATGTCTATCTCTTAGGGATAACCCACAATAACCATTTTTATCCTTTATTTTTTATGAGAAATAATGACTTATTTACGAAGCGATTATAGACAATACAGCATTAATTCTTATGCGATTAAGTACCTTAAATACATTGTGCATTTAATATAGATCAATATGGCCCTTTACAGCATGTAATTTAAATGAATATTTTCGAAGATATTACAGACTTAAAATGCAGGGACATAGCGGTTGCGGTGGTACCGGCCGGGAGGCCGGTTTGTATTGCCTAATGACAAAAAAACTGTGAATGTTGTATATAAAGACATTTTGTAGTATATTTAGTATGTTCAGGGGGTATCTTTTGAAGATTTCATCTTTTCGATAATAATCTAAACAAAACAAAAATATACTCAGTATCAGCATTGCACCCGTGCGAAGCTGGGGCGGGTCACTAGTTATTAATAAAATTGACTATATAACAAACGCTTAAACGAAAAATAAATAATAAGATCCATGCGTTTTAGTGGCCGTCCACAAAATATGTCACTCAGAATTTCACTTTTTTGGAACCCTCCTCCTCCTCTTCGTCACGCTAAGTCACACTTTCAGATACTCCCCTAACAATATTACGTCACAATAGTTAACCCAACTCCCCACCAATGATTCCTTGTCATTGAAAATATCCATTTCCACTACCCCCTAATGTTGTTTTTCAAAACACGTTAGATTATGGTTTTCCCATATTTAACCAAAATCAAATAACAAATATTAATATAAATATTAATTAACTAATATTTCTCAATTTTAATACATCTACCATCCAAAATGACGCAACTTCGTACAAACTTTTATCCTCAACCCTTAAAGGTTAATTTGCAAAAAATTATAAATCGGATCAATTTAAATACATACGAGGTATGGTAAAAAAGTATCACGAATTTTGTGTTTTTTCAAAATTTATTTATTCATTCATGAGTATCTGTTTTGTCTTATTTAAAGCAATCCCCACCAGATATTATACACTTGTGTTAACGTTTTTTTCAATTCTGGAAGCACTTCAAAAAATCATTTTTTGTAACCTTGTTCAACTCCTCCTTCGATGCCGTCTTTGTCTCCTCAATCGCAGCGTGTCGTCATTCTTTCATGGACATCATCAGTTTCGGGAACAAAAAAAGTCATAGAGAGCCAGATCTGGGGAATACGGTGACTGCGGCATTATTAGGGTGTTGTTTTTGGTCAAAAATTCGCGCACAAGTAACGATGTGTGAGCAGGGCCTTTATCATGGTGCAAAAGCTAATTTTTGTTCTGCACAAATCCAGGAGTTTTTGGCGAATTGCTTCGCACAAATTGCCCATAACTTGCAGGTAATATTCCTTATTAACCTTTTTACCATGTAACAAGAACTAATGATGCACTACGCCCCTGCAGTCGAAAAAAACTGTAAGCAAAACCTTCACATTCGACCTAACTTGGCGCGCTTTTTTCGGTATTGGCTCGTGTGACAGCCTCCATTGGGATGATTGAGCTTTGGTTTTCACATCATAACCATAAACCCATGATTCGTCACCAATTATGACTCTTTGGAGCAATTTTGGGTTGTCGCGGACAGAGTCCTCCTCAGCAAAGTTGTTGGGATGCTTTTTTTGGTTGAAATTGAGCAATTTTGGTACAAGTTTCGCGGCGACTCGTCTTATTATTGTAAAAATCGAATTGCAGGAGTCAATCGGTATGTTTAGGTCTTCAGCAACTTTCTAACGGTGATTGGCCACTACTATTTTCTTAAATTAAGTTAAATATTCTTTATAAGAGTTTTCTTATGCAACCGTTCAACACCTTTAATTTTTGCCCCCTTAAATCAGGCCTCGAGTCTAATTGGATGCGAAGTCTAAAAATAATATAAAGAAGGCATTCAAAATTTAGAGATTGACGAAGGAATTAAATTTTGGTTGGAATATTTTAACACTTTAGAGACTATATTATTAATAATTTTATTAATCACATAAATTTCGATATGAATTCTACTATTTTAGTGTATTCTATGACAATTAAAATTCTACTGAAGAAAATATAAAGCATTATTGTATATGCATGTCTGTATTCAATATACTTCAATTAATATCTTTTCTTGTTAACTTAAATGTCACTCAGCTATTAGTGACATTCTCATAGCGTTAATGGCATGCTCCAAGGAACGTACTGTTTTACTCAGTGTTACAAAATGTCATCCATAACAAATCATACTGAAACGTGACATCACACAAATTCATGTTTTAACCTAGTTTTTCATTTTATAATAAATTAACTAGGCTTTTCAAGGCAATCAAATATATATATGTATTGTTGACAAACGTTTCAAGTGGAATGGTTGCCACCAATAAGAGATAAATACCTAACCAGAGTGCGTTGTGTACGTGTTAGTACATGTTGTTGTACAACATGTATATACGCAAGTAAGTGGTTGGAACAGTCCAGGGCCTCCTACAAGCTGGCATTCATTAGCAGTAAATATTAAACCATCAATTAGAGATGTCGCGGGTCTGCCATTTAGAATGACAGTTGAAGATTAGATTTGTATTTGCGTGAGTTAAAGGCCACGTGGGTTGGCAATATTTTTCTGTGGCAAATTAGCTTCACGAGCCTTCCTTTCTCTTCCCTCCGTTTACTGCGTACCATTTGGGTAAACTACTTTTTGCATCACTGGACACAGATACTTACAGAAAGTTTGATGTTTTCATGATTCATCACTACGTAGTATAAAACAAAGTCGCTTTCCCGCTGTCTGTCTCTATGTATGCTTAAATCTTTAAAACTACGCAACATATTTTCATTCGGTTTTTTTTTAAAGATAGAGTGATTCAAGAGGAAGGTTTATATGTATAATACATGCATAATATAATTGGGAAACACTGATAATTTTAGAGGTTTCTAATGTGATGTCGTAAATAAACACATTTTTTGCGCTTACATGTACTACAATATTGTACATCTTAAAAGGGTCTACAAAAAATGGTATATGTCTATCTCTTAGGGATAACCCACAATAACCATTTTTATCCTTTATTTTTTATGAGAAATAATGACTTATTTACGAAGCGATTGTAGGCAATACAGCATTAATTCTTACCCAGAAATGTTTTTACANTAAATTCAACATACATACATATGATTCGCTGTTCAGATATAACATATCTACAGAATCTTATCATTGGATCTGTAATTTGTCGGATAATAAAAGGTACTCTTTTGTAAAAAAAAAACCCAGACTATAGGGGGTCTTAGGCATTACTCTATAATTCGACACTGCCCTGCAAAACGTTTTTCAGATTACCGGGGGTCCACTGTAATTAGAAACTGGGAGGGTTACGAAAAAATGTTGGAATAGGATTTCCCAAAGATTAAGCGCCATGCAACAACAACAAAAGTTCTTTCCTTTCTCCTTTCCCGTTTTCTTACAAGTGAACTTTTTCTTTCCCCTCCTCGTCCCATCTCAGGCGTTCCTAATAAAGGCAATAAGGGAGTTCAAAGATTTTTATTAAACCATTTTCATTTTCTCGTCAATTTTTGTATTTAAAAATTAAAGTTCCATAAACTCTCTTAAATCTTTTCATGGAAGATTCATAAAATTCGAAAATATGATTTCTAATAAACTGAATTTTATGACGTAATTGTTGATCTCAAAGAAAATTTATTTATATTTTCTTATTTATCATCCCAAAATAAGCATTAACATATATTTAAAAAAAAGCCTGGCCGCTAAAACAAAGCCTTAACCTCCATTCGAAACTATTAAATAGACAGAAATGAATGCTTGTGCATATTTTAGTAAAAAACAATTAATTCAAATGTATCGACCAAAGAAAATGGCAGTAAAAGTTGTTTACATGTTGTTCTACGAGATTAGCAATATTTTAACATCAAAGAATCCAGATAGCAACGTCAAATTATTTGTGTAAAATGACAAAAAATATCTGTCAATTTGTGGAATAGTTTTTTGAAAGGGCAATTTATGGATTTTCAAACTTTTTTCAGAAATTTGTTCGAAAATATTAAACCGAGTGCTTAAATTTTATTGCTTAGTAAACTAACAAATAATAATCATGAGTGCAGAATATTTTACTATTGAAGAAATACGAGATCCATCGAAATATTACGAGGGTAAGAAACACATTATATTTTCATAGTTTTTTCACCTAAACGTTATAGATCATAATAATAAGTAGTAATGATAAATTAACTTTTATGACATATTAAGTAATATTTAAACATTTTTTATCCGACTACCCTTCATTATAAATTTTTGACTGAAGCTCCGAAAACGGACATTCTCTTAGTTGCTTCAAATTTTTGCCACACAATCCTTCCTTTATGGACTACATGATAATTCCTGAAGGTGTAAAGGAATTTGTTTTTCCATGGTGACAGCTTTTCGGAAACTTAATTTTCATTTCTCGGAAATGACTTGCAATGGTCCAGTTATGTAAAACTTAAAGATGTTTTAAACAATTTTCTTTAGTAAATAAATACTTTATTGATAATGTCTGAGTTTGACAGTCACTGGTCAAAACTTTTTCAATAAAAGGGAAGAAGTTGGAACTGTTATCTGACTCAACCTTATCTCTGTTAAGTTACTGTTACCTGTACATTTTAAATTAAATTTGGGTTTTTGACAACATTTCTACACCTATTCCTCACATATGTGTCTGTCTCTAGGATACGAAAGAAAGCAGACGCTGAGGTCGTATTTTTTTTTATTGTTATTCGAAAAAATGTAAACACTAAAAGCCGAAGAACAAAGCTGCATGACAAGAAAGTAATGAGTAAACACAGCTAGTTGTAAATAACAGTACAGTAAAAGTTCCTTATTCACGGTTTCCTTATTCGCGTTTTCATTATTCGCGAGTGAAAAAATTGAAACCCAATTCCTGTATTCGAGGTTAAAAATTTCTTTATTCGCGGTTGAAATCGGTCAATAGAAAAGGATTCGGTGCCATTTATTAAGGAGATTGACCGCAACAGACCGCTTGTGCCTAGTGAGAATTTTTTCGAAAACATGGGTTTCTATTCTAAACATTATTATTTAACGCTGCAAGATAAATATCTAAATTTTCGTATGGTAACAGACAAAAATTCACACTAACTCGGTGCGTTTCTGGTTTTCAATTATATGGCCATTAAAAGCTTTTACAGGTGCTTAAAATTGATGCTTCTTGTAGGACCCGTATTTTCAATAAAAATTAAAAAATTAAAAAATAGCCTTCGACAGGCTTTAGAACAAAGCTTTATCTATCTTACTACAAAATTTCAAACCTCTGTTCCAAATATTAAACTTTTGATATCTAGAACCGATAAGCATTTTTTTACCCTATGGCGCGTGTACTACTGAGTCTAACGGCATCTTTTGAGTATGTACAGTTGGTACGTACCGAAGCAGCTTTTATAAAAAATCTAACCGAGTAGAAAAGGATTCGGTGTTATTTTTCAACGCATCAGTGAGTACTGTTGGCTCGTGCCGAAGCGAATTTTATAAAAGATGTAACCGAGTGGACTAATTTCAAAATTCAAAACAAGACGAAATCACTAAATTTTTTAAACTCTTGCCTAAAGCTAATTACAACGATTAATTTTAATTGCGAATTTATCAACACATTGATTTTATTTAGATACATATTGGTTTTATTTTGGAACGTATCCCCTATGATTCCATACTAATTACCATTCCATATCCACGGTTTCTGTATTCGCGGCATATTTATGGAACGCACACCCGCGAATAAAGAGCTTTTACTGTATAAGCAGTTTGTCACATACTGACGTCGCAGTTGGTGAGACAGAGAAAAAACTGTATGCGGTTGAGCATACCTTGTTAAACGGTGTTAGTATCATGATAGGCACCTAACCAAACAGAACAAAAAGTTCATGTAGTGGTCGCAACAGAACACAAAGCAACTCTACCTTTAAACATTGTTTTATGCATTACTACAAATGGCATGGTCTACGACGTGCTGACGAGACCCAAGAAGATCGAAATCGCGATCCGCTCGGTTAGTTTCGACTTATTATATTTCGTTTAGTTTCTCTAGCTATGTGACCTTTAGCTTAACCGACGCAAAGTAGAAAAGAACAGCACTAGTCCAGAAAAGGAAGGAGACAACTCTCGGCCAAACTCTCAACCGGCGAAGAGCGTATAATCCGTACTATTAAAGGTTTTAAAGCTTATTTTCGACACGCACTACTATTCATGATTGAATAATACTTTTGGCAAGTACTGTACGAAAAAGTATGTTTAATGTACAAGAGTCGAGAGTATAATGAGCTTTTTTCTTCCTACCTCCGATTTTGCCAGTGCGCATCCGAGGCATTGGAAGGGCAAATCGCTAGAGAAAGTAAACGAAGTATACCTACTAATCATCATAAGAACTATTTGCAAGCTGAAGGATTTCTGCAACGCCTATCCAACCAATTTGGGCACCTTTCTTCAAGTTTTTTAAGGCAAAGGACGATCCTGGATTAGTCGGCATGTTTAGCTAACATTTACGTTTCCAAGCTTTCATTCTCTTTCATAGCTGCATAAAGTACCTAACCATCGTCAAAATTCTTTAGTTGACTTCTTCCCGATTTATCCTTCGGATTAGTATCATCTGACATGGAGCAGACAAGCCATCCTTGACAGTGTATTAATTAATTTACCCAATCTGATCGTTTCAAATAATGAAAATTATTTTTCGACTTCCATAATTTCACTTTGATACTAAAGACGTATCACATTATTTAGTTCGTAAAGATGTTGAATATTTGGCGTACATATCTGTTATTAGATACATTTTTTATGAAGTATTCGTGTTTTTGTTTCTCACATATCGATAGGACATATCGATCTAAGACCGTAATTATGATCAACTAATCTATTCCCAAAAATAATTAATTTTACATATCTCTAAACAGGGCTATTATCTGTAATTTCGTTCGTAGGTTATTGTGTTTCGAAAAAGACCAGAACTCCTGAAGAACGTTACTTCGGGGTTGACGAAATAGAAGAAATCACTACGACTTCTAAGAAAAGTCAAGAACGTCTTCATGGTGAGTAAAACTGTTATATTATGAGCTATATTTTTATGAAATATGCTTTGAAATTCAAACTGAATCCTTAAAAATCTCTGAACAGGCCGATTTTGGTTATATGCACGTGGATCCTTAAGTAAACTGTAACGAATATTTCAGAACGTCTATTTATTACTATAGGTCTTTTATATAAGTAGGCTACGTAACAAGAAAGGTATAATATATATGCCAGGGGTGTATATAAGATATACTTTTTATCTTAAAAGTTTCACGATCGACTTGTTGTCATATGTGTAGTCTAAGGGTGTGAAATGCATACTATGTTTCTAGTGTTTCAGTATAAGATGCATTCCAGCAAAGTATATGTAGATAAATAAAATATTTGTTTATGCTAGAATGTTTTGTCTTCTACAATCGCTTCAAAGTCTATGCTACAATAAATTCCACCCCAGACATTGCAAGCGATAGACTTTCGACCAAAAGTGGCCTCATGATCGACCGATCGGCTTATTGACTACCCCTGCAGTATATAGTTATTGATATAATAATCGGTTATTTATATCCCTGCAGCTACAATTTTTACTGTTCTTATTCGCGTAGTACTTCTATCAACTCTCTCATAGCCCTTGTTACACGGCCCGAGAAGCAGCAATCCATGAGCAGGNATCACGTTGAGGTTGGCTACGCCGGGATTCGTTTTCAGCAAGTAGATATCCACACAATTGGACCTTGTTGGAGCATACGTAATCCTAAAATGTAGCATCGTACTACAGATGGCGTTTACCGCACCATTTGTGGTGTTTTCTAAAACGCTCTGTTAAGACAGCAGGTAAAAGTTGGTCAGTGTTCTGTCTGCGACGCGCTGATGAGATCCAACAGGATCAAAATCGCGATGCGTGTGTAGCAGTTTCGACAGAATACAGACCACTTCGAATTATTTTATTCGATTATTTAGATTACTGTTCGCAAATAGTTAAGGATGTGGGTTGTTCTAGTTTTAGGGAAATGTGAAGATTAGGTCAGAGTAGGAAACAGCGGAAGTGAATGTCCAACCGGTCTTAGGATTGACAACTTTATGATAATTTGTAATTGACATGACAAGGTTTGTGTGAAAGAAAATTTTTGGAAAATACACGGGAATATCCGAAAAATGGATAGTATTTTTATACTTATATTTACCTTTGTTATAAATTTTGGCATTTTTGTTACTAATCAGATTTATATGAAACTTGATATTTATGTTTACTAACATAAAACCAAACATCCATTTCAGTACTTTAAAAAATTTGACTTCTGGAAGGGGGGGGGGGTGAAAAGAAACTATATGTTTGAATGGGACATATATTATTTGTGGTCAGATATAATAGAAATTTGATTTCGAAGTCGAACCGACAAGTCAGTCGTGGCGGTTCGCGCGGTGCAACGGTTCGACAGTGCGCGGTGCAACGGTTGGAACGTTCAAGTTCGTAGTCGAACCGACCCGCCAGGTTTGGTTATTCGATGAACGAAAGGTCCCCCGACCGATTCACCGCACATCGTTTGCGTGGTGCAACGGTCGGAACGTTCGGGCTTGTAGTCGAACCGACCCGCGAGGCTTGATCATTTGGCGGACGAAGAGTCGCCCGACCGATTCACCGCGCATCATTTTCACTAACGTTTGGCAGTTATGTTTTAGGGTGAAACCAATTTTAGTTGTTTATAATATAACTTTGGTTTGAGTTTTATTGATTAAATGAATAATGAGTTTCTGCTACTTCCTTTAAAGTTTCAGAATTTGTCGTATAGGTACCTATATTTTTCTAGTTTTAAGTTTCGCGTCACTGATGAACAAATAAATAAAGATCAATTCAAAAGATTTTAATAATATATTAAGATTTAAATATAAAAAGTTAAATTTGCCAAGTGACTAAAAGATTTATTGTTTAAACCTCCTAAACGTTTCATTAGTACGTTATTGTACAAATTTCGCTCGTAAAAGCGAATAAAGTATGAGCAAAATACAATTATATTTGCGATTTTTCTTACATATTATCAATAGATAGTTTTCGTGAATTCGTTACCACTGAGTGTAACTTTCTTGAAAAGTTTTGGAAAGTGAAGTGCGACCTGAACGTGTCCTTCGCCATTTGACCAATGAAATGTTGAACTATCGGTTTGGTTGCGAGCTTGTACATTGCCGCGGCAAATTTCTCTGGCAACGGATCGACCAAAATTCCAGAAATTCTGTGGGTCACAATTTCACTAGGAAAGCCACTATTGACTGCGATTACGGGTTTGCCTAAACTCATAGCTGCTAGTAGAGGTCCGGGATAGAGATCGTTTTTCACAGGATGTACAACTGCCACGCAGTTTTCTATCAGGGTTTTCTTATGCAAAGTGGGTAGTTGACGCAGAAACGTGACCTGAGCTCCGTAAGATTTTTCCGAGGTGACCTCAACCAATTCTTGATAGTACTGAAGTTGCTCGTTAGATTTTTCACTGCAATGCCCTGCTATTATCATATGAATATCTTCTTTGATAGGGTCTTCTAACATTCTGAGTAAATATTCTAAGGAATCGAGAGCCAATTTAAAGTTCGATCTCTTTCGGTAGTCTCCAAATACGACAAACATGATTGCATTTCTTGGCAAGTCGGGAATAATGCGAGAAAGGTTGGCTGAAGGCTCATTCCACAGTCCCACGTCGACGCAGGGGCATAAAATCCTTAGTTGCTTTTTACAGTTTGGATATAAATGCCGAAAAACTTGAGCTAAACAGCTCGTTTGGACAATTATTTCCGTCGCATGATTCAATGCATTCGCTACTTCGTAACGCGGATTCAGATGCCTGTATTCGGAAATGTCCAGCGCTTGAATCATCGGAAAATGTTGGATGAAGATAGTCCTGTACTTGCTTAATACTTTAAGAAATGTAAGCCCTAGTGGATGAACGTCTAGAATGATGACTTTCGGTTTCGGAGCAGGAGGAACAAAGATCATTCTCATAACCAACCAGAGTGATTTTAGAAAAACCATCGTTCTTCTAAACATTCCCAGGATGCTATCCGGTATCCACCAGCCGGAGTGAAGTACCGGGAGACATCCCCTGATAGGCTAAAACGGGGTATCACTCAAAAATCTCTAGTGGAATCATTACGAACACTTACATCTATTTCCTCGAAGCATTCAAGATTGTCCAGTTTAGTAGTAAAAAAAGTCACCCTGTGCCCAAAGTTTTTTAGGGCTAAGGCCATGTCAATCATGTACCGATCTTCGGACTTGATCCCCAATTTGTGTNGCCATCTGTAGTACAATGCTACATTTTAGGATTACATATGCTTAACAAGTTCCATTTAAATAAATAGATATCTACTTTCTGAAATGAATCCCGGCGTAGCTCGCCACTACGTGATAGGCACGTTACCATATTCGAATAAAATAATTGTACTACAGATGGCGTTTACTGCGCCATTTGTAGTGTTTTATAAAACGCGCTGTTAAGACAGCAGGTAAAAATTGGTCTATGCTCTGTCGAAATTGTCTGCGACGTGCTGATGAATTCTAACAGGATCAAAATCGCGATGCGTGTGTAGCAGTTTCGACAGAATACAGACCACTTCGAATTATTTTATTCGATTATGGTAACGTGCCTATCACGTTGAGGTTAGCTACGCCGGGATTCGTTTCAGCAAGTCGATATTCATATATTTAAATGGACCTTGTTGGAGCATACGTAATTCTAAAATGTAGCACGTACTACAGATGGCGTTTACCGCGCCATTTGTGGTATTTTCTAAAACGCACTGTTAACACAGCAGGTAAAAGTTGGTCAGTGTTCTGTCTGCGACGCGCTGATGAGATCCAAAAAGATCGAAATCGTGATCCGCGTCTGGCAGTATCGACAGAATACAGACCGCTTCGAATTATTTTATTCGATTATGGTAACGTGCCTATCACGTTGAGGTTAGCTACGCCGGGATACGTTTCAGCAAGTAAATATACATACATTTAAATGGACCTTGTTGGAGCATACGTAATCCNACTATTTTAGTGTATTCTATGACAATTAAAATTCTACTGAAGAAAATATAAAGCATTATTGTATATGCATGTCTGTATTCAATATACTTCAATTAATATCTTTTCTTGTTAACTTAAATGTCACTCAGCTATTAGTGACATTCTCATAGCGTTAATGGCATGCTCCAAGGAACGTACTGTTTTACTCAGTGTTACAAAATGTCATCCATAACAAATCATACTGAAACGTGACATCACACAAATTCATGTTTTAACCTAGTTTTTCATTTTATAATAAATTAACTAGGCTTTTCAAGGCAATCAAATATATATATATGAACTTATAAATGCTCTTAAAGTAATTCGTTATTTCTTTATACATATGTACTTAATACTTTTTGTCTAGTAATATCTGAATACAGTGGACCCCGGTAATCCGACCCTGTCTATTCCGGCGCCCCCTGTAATCCGACATATCTACAGGTCTGACGAAGGAAGCTGACGAGCGGTCGCGCAGGTACTTGCCCATTTATGACCTATTTGGGTAAGTCACTTGGAACCGATACACAAATAGGCTTTCAGTAGGCGTAAATTATAGTATTAATACAGATAGGACAGTAGCGTACTAGAAAATAATGTAAAAACATGACTTATCAAAAAGAAAAAATTAACCTATTGCTTTTGTTTTATAGTTAGTTTTCNGCTCGCATGCAAGTATATAAACCTGCTAGACCTAAGAGAAGCTCAATTCGCAAGTTATGTAACAGCATAACATATTAACTAATTCATTAATTTTCAATAATTACTTATCATGGAATCTTGCAATTTTAATTGGTTCGTTTGTTTAAGGACACTGCAAAAATGCTAAACTTTTGCTATTTTTTCTAAATTTGTCGATTTTAAATGTATTTCTATTTACATATAAATGCAACGTGAATTTCTAGTCGCAGGAGTAATCAATAAATAGGCGAATTTGCGTAAAATCCTGCAAGCGGATAAATGATGCAGATGATAACCAATTCGGTTTTTTTTACTGCCACTACTTCGGCTGTAAGCTGTAATGATCTGAAGCATTATTTATTTTCTTGTCACACCTATTCAAGCCTATCTACTTACGAATGTGTAAGTTACTCATATTATTATGTTCGATCTGTCAAGGTTTTGTATTTCTGTATTTTCTGCAACATTTTCGTGAGCTTCGCAGTATTCTTCAGTAGGGCAGACCTGACTTACGTTCTCGGCTCTGGGTGACAGTGTTCAATTTTGTGTTAAAACCGCATTATGGGTGGAACAAATGGGCGATTTCAAAATCAAATAACTCACTGGTTTCAAGCCATATCCTACATTAAATGTATTTAATCGATCGGAAAACAATGTCCTCAATGGTGTGTAATTGAAAAATTAATTGAATGTAAACAATGATACGTTCAAAAGTTGATAAAACAAAGTTGTGACCTGACTTTCCGTACAACAATGTGTGAAGGTGAAGTTCTGGATTGATTCCCTTTTTACCCTGTTTTGTTCATATGAAGGCTTACAGTTTCCTGACTAACTTTGAGCTTCCTATCCATAAACCAGTATGTGGGTGGGATGCACCCCTTGAATCTAATAAGTGTCTTTCTTCAAGTCACTGAACGAGGATTTGCGTCAGTTGAATTCAATCTTTAATTTTCGGATGTGTTTTTAGGCATCCCATTGTGTCAATCACAAATTGATTTTATTAATTGAATGTAAATAAAGGAATGTCAAAGAGTAATCCCGACGATTGTAGGCAGAAGTCAATTCACATACGCAAACAATAGTCCAAGATTTGGAGAAGTTGAACAATTGGATTCAAGGAGTGAATTCATCGCCATAATGGTTTAGTTGATAAGTCAACAATAAATCATCATATCAACAAAACCCGATAAACAAAAGATGCAAGCTAAAAATTCACCAACTGATACCGCACATCTGATACCGCACATATTACTACGCGAAAGGCCAGGTCACAGAGTAGTTATATCAACTTTTCAACGTGGTCGTTCCATTGTTTATATATAGTTAATTGTATTTATTAATCACACATCGACGAGAACACACATGTATATCTACATCCTTATTTAAAGATTTATAAAACCATTTAGACGAAAACAAAAGCAATATTCCAAAAATACTAAAACTGCCGAAACAATTAAATAGGTCCTGAAAAAACAAGGAGTTTGCAAGACTCGATGCTTTTGTAGAAGAATTTATACAGATGAAACCGAAAGAACTCTTACCCAACGAATCAAAGAACACCAAACCAAAGTCAAAATAAAACACTTTACTCAATTACCATTCGCAGAACATGTTGAAACAAACCGTTGTTTATTAATTCGTAAAACTATCCCTTAAAAAAAAATCGCGCAGAATTGAGATTTTATAAAATATCATAACAAATTCAAAACGAGATAACAAACAACTAATTAGACATCCCTAGCATTATGTACAATACTGTAAAAGTTCCTTATTCACGGTTTCCTTATTCGTGTTTTCATTATTCGCGGGTGAAAAAATTGTAACCTTGTTTCTGTATTTGCGGTTAAAAATTTCATTATTCCCGGTTGCAATTGGTAAACAGAAAAGGATTTGGTGCTATTTATTAAGAGGATTGACCGCAATAGACCGCTCGTGCCTAGTGTGAATTTTTCTGAAAACATGGGTTTCTATTCTAAACGTGATTTAACGCTGCGAGATAAATATCTAATTTTTTGTATGGTAACAGATAAAGGTTCAAATTAACTCGGTACGTTTATGATTTTCAATAATATGGTCATTAAAAGCTTTTACAATAAGTGCTTAAAGTTGACGCTTTTTGTAGGATACGTATTTATAACAGAAATTAAAAAATAGCCTTCGACAGGCTTTAGAACAAAGCTTTATCTATCTTACTACAAAATTTCAAACCTCTGTTCCAAATATTAAACTTTTGATATCTAGAACCGATAAGCATTTTTTTACCCTATGGCGCGTGTACTACTGAGTCTAACGGCATCTTTTGAGTATGTACAGTTGGTACGTACCGAAGCAGCTTTTATAAAAAATCTAACCGAGTAGAAAAGGATTCGGTGTTATTTTTCAACGCATCAGTGAGTACTGTTGGCTCGTGCCGAAGCGAATTTTATAAAAGATGTAACCGAGTGGACTAATTTCAAAATTCAAAACAAGACGAAATCACTAAATTTTTTAAACTCTTGCCTAAAGCTAATTACAACGATTAATTTTAATTGCGAATTTATCAACACATTGATTTTATTTAGATACATATTGGTTTTATTTTGGAACGTATCCCCTATGATTCCATACTAATTACCATTCCATATCCACGGTTTCTGTATTCGCGGCATATTTATGGAACGCACACCCGCGAATAAAGAGCTTTTACTGTATAAGCAGTTTGTCACATACTGACGTCGCAGTTGGTGAGACAGAGAAAAAACTGTATGCGGTTGAGCATACCTTGTTAAACGGTGTTAGTATCATGATAGGCACCTAACCAAACAGAACAAAAAGTTCATGTAGTGGTCGCAACAGAACACAAAGCAACTCTACCTTTAAACATTGTTTTATGCATTACTACAAATGGCATGGTCTACGACGTGCTGACGAGACCCAAGAAGATCGAAATCGCGATCCGCTCGGTTAGTTTCGACTTATTATATTTCGTTTAGTTTCTCTAGCTATGTGACCTTTAGCTTAACCGACGCAAAGTAGAAAAGAACAGCACTAGTCCAGAAAAGGAAGGAGACAACTCTCGGCCAAACTCTCAACCGGCGAAGAGCGTATAATCCGTACTATTAAAGGTTTTAAAGCTTGTTTTTGACGCGTACTACTATTCATGATTGATTAATACTTTTGGCAAGTACTGTACGAAAAAGTATGTTTAATGTACAAGAGTCGAGAGTATAATGAACTTTTTTGTTCCTACCTCCGATTTTGCCAGTGCGCATCCGAGGCATTGGAAGGGCAAATCGCTAGAGAAAGTAAACGAAGTATACCTACTAATCATCATAAGAACTATTTGCAAGCTGAAGGATTTCTGCAACGCCTATCCAACCAATTTGGGCACCTTTCTTCAAGTTTTTTAAGGCAAAGGACGATCCTGGATTAGTCGGCATGTTTAGCTAACATTTACGTTTCCAAGCTTTCATTCTCTTTCATAGCTGCATAAAGTACCTAACCATCGTCAAAATTCTTTAGTTGACTTCTTCCCGATTTATCCTTCGGATTAGTATCATCTGACATGGAGCAGACAAGCCATCCTTGACAGTGTATTAATTAATTTACCCAATCTGATCGTTTCAAATAATGAAAATTATTTTTCGACTTCCATAATTTCACTTTGATACTAAAGACGTATCACATTATTTAGTTCGTAAAGATGTTGAATATTTGGCGTACATATCTGTTATTAGATACATTTTTTATGAAGTATTCGTGTTTTTGTTTCTCACATATCGATAGGACATATCGATCTAAGACCGTAATTATGATCAACTAATCTATTCCCAAAAATAATTAATTTTACATATCTCTAAACAGGGCTATTATCTGTAATTTCGTTCGTAGGTTATTGTGTTTCGAAAAAGACCAGAACTCCTGAAGAACGTTACTTCGGGGTTGACGAAATAGACTACGACTTCTAAGAAAAGTCAAGAACGTCTTCATGGTGAGTAAAACTGTTATATTATGAGCTATATTTTTATGAAATATGCTTTGAAATTCAAACTGAATCCTTAAAAATCTCTGAACAGGCCGATTTTGGTTATATGCACGTGGATCCTTAAGTAAACTGTAACGAATATTTCAGAACGTCTATTTATTACTATAGGTCTTTTATATAAGTAGGCTACGTAACAAGAAAGGTATAATATATATGCCAGGGGTGTATATAAGATATACTTTTTATCTTAAAAGTTTCACGATCGACTTGTTGTCATATGTGTAGTCTAAGGGTGTGAAATGCATACTATGTTTCTAGTGTTTCAGTATAAGATGCATTCCAGCAAAGTATATGTAGATAAATAAAATATTTGTTTATGCTAGAATGTTTTGTCTTCTACAATCGCTTCAAAGTCCATGCTACAAGAAATTCCACCCCAGACATTGCAAGCGATAGACTTTCGACCAAATGTGGCCTCATGATCGACCGATCGGCTTATTGACTACCCCTGCAGTATATAGTTATTGATATAATAATCGGTTATTTATATCCCTGCAGCTACAATTTTTACTGTTCTTATTCGCGTAGTACTTCTATCAACTCTCTCATAGCCCTTGTTACACGGCCCGAGAAGCAGCAATCCATGCGCGGCGTGTGCCTAAGCTCAACCCGTTCCTCGGCATGGAGATTGACAATCCACGCTCCGTGTAACGAAGTCGCCGCAGACCGGAGCGTGGATTTTTTTTCGGACATCGTTGGTCAATGTCAAAATAAACGCGCCTGTAGTTATCAAATGTGATCCGAAAATATGTACACAAGGTCAAATAACTTAAGTTTGCATAATCATACCTACAAAAGGTACTATAAAACCATGTTATGCATGTTGAAACTATATTTTAATTTATAAAATACTTAATAATCTTTTGCAATCTATATATATCAAAATGGATCGCTAAATTTGTTAATAAGTACAAAACTCGAGCACGGCTGGACCAATTTCGATAATTTTTTTTTTAAGATATTCTTTAAAGTTCGAGAGAGGTTCTTATGAAAAGAAAAACATTGTCCAGAAAAACGTAAAAGCCAAATCTAAACTGTTCTTAGCTATCAATTCTAGGGAATTGTCAAGTGCATAACGAAGCATCACTTGAGCACGGCTCAACCGATTTGACTGATTTATTTTGTTGGTGAATTTGTAATTGAGAAATAAAAAGACAGGATAGGTTAGTAGGACACCTTCTCAGGCATAAAGGTCTAGTAAGAGACATATTAAATGCAGAAACGGGAGTTAGGAGGAGAAGCGGTAGATCAAGATTAGATTACTGTTCGCAAATAGTTAAGGATGTGGGTTGTTCTAGTTTTAGGGAAATGTGAAGATTAGGTCAGAGTAGGAAACAGCGGAAGTGAATGTCCAACCGGTCTTAGGATTGACAACTTTATGATAATTTGTAATTGACATGACAAGGTTTGTGTGAAAGAAAATTTTTGGAAAATACACGGGAATATCCGAAAAATGGATAGTATTTTTATACTTATATTTACCTTTGTTATAAATTTTGGCATTTTTGTTACTAATCAGATTTATATGAAACTTGATATTTATGTTTACTAACATAAAACCAAACATCCATTTCAGTACTTTAAAAAATTTGACTTCTGGAAGGGGGGGGGGGGGAAAAGAAACTATATGT